GTCTTGTGGTTAATGAGGATAAATAAAAGCTTCCCTGTTTGGAATTTTAAAAATTCATTGGAGGTTCGCCTTCAGATGAATTGAAGACGCCTGCAATTTCATCTGCAGTAAGCTTATTATACCTACGACGATCCATATTTATCCTGTCTACAAACCTAAGTTCTAATTCACTGTCACCTTGTACAACCATTTCTTCCGAAGCTCTTTTGTAAATTTGTGCAAATGGATTTTCTAATAGAGTTTCAGCTAGTTTTGACAATATTTCAGGTTTTAAGTCACTATTTTCTCGACGCCTTTGACGAATTTCTGTTGCTGTTGATGTGTCAATAATGTACAATTGGCCATATACACATCATGTTGAGGCAGCAAATCTGAGATTGAACGATAAATCTGTCCTTGAATTTTGAAACAGTATGGTCCTTTTCCTGGAATATCTTTCTTACTGGCTGAAAAATAAGCAAAAGCCATCGCACTGTTGCATTGTCGAATGAATTTATACAGTTGTGGGCTCTCTTCAAACAAACTTTTAAGTTCTACATTAGTTTTTGACTGAGGAAGGTTAATAAGTCCGTTATGGCAACATGTCATAAATTGATTATTCGTTAGTTCTTCTCTAAAATGAAGAGCACTACATTGAATGCACTCTACACTCTTGGTCCAATAATCCTGCATCATGGATCTTTACATTTCTCTCGTCTACCATGGGTCTCCTAAAAAGGGGTTGTAACATAGGCCTATCTTGATTAAGTTCGTCATTATCTACTCTTGCTCTCCTACGCGCACTGTCATTCCTATGAACAGTTCCCCGCCTTTGTGGTATTTCCCTGGCGTTCATATTAATTACAGTACTTATAATGAAAAGAATATATATCCAGCAGCCTACATACCAAAACATCTTGAATCCCTGGTGATTTTATAAAAGTATGATCGAATATGATTACTCTACGTTGTATATTCACTGCACTAAAAAAAAATACTTACGAAGGAATGCAAATACACCATTTTAGAACCAATAACATTTATAGGTTATTTTAGTTGTATATATTCACACAACCTTAACCTTAAAATGTGTAGAAATATAAAGAAAACAACATCATTTAAAATAAACTTGAACATATGATTTAAAAATAAAAACAAAACAGAAGTTAGATTTAATTTCGACTCTTTGATTATTTATACAGAATATTTATTCTATGTCGTTTATTCCTTTAACACGACAATAACGTAAAAGCATGAAAAAATGAAACTTGAGTATATGATTTAAATATAAACAAAGAATGCAGACGTTTTTCCGACTAATCTTCAATATTTCAGTTTTATTATAGTATACATTTCATAGTTGACTGGCTAAAAGTAAACCTAATGCGTGTATTGATCACTGTTTTCAAATCTGTGGCACAGCTGTTTTAATTTCAAAAGATGTAAACAAATTAAACCCCATGTTGTTTTAATGGGAAAAGTTTTATTCTGTTGCGAATTTATGGTAAAAAAATAAGAAAAATGAATAGTTTTCCCTCAAAATTCACTTCAAGACCTTTAAAATAAGACCCCTCCCATCTTTCTACGGCCATCCAGTCACTCACAATTTCTTTACAACAATTTGACTTACGGAATTATATATATAGACTAGCTGACCCGGCGAACTTCGTATCGCCTAAGTTATAGGTTTCCCCTAAGACAGACCGATGGAAAGAAAGTACCGTTACGTTTAATTTTCAAGATGATCTTGTTCGCATCGCTCAATCACGTCCTGGTTGAAGTTCGTTCGCTAAGCTCACTCACCTTTGGGTTGGAGCTCGTTCGCTACGCTCACTCACCTTTAGGTTGGAGCTCGTTCGCTGCGCTCACTTGCCTTCAGGTTAGCTCGTTTGCTACGCTAACTCGCCTCCAGGTTGAAGTTCGTTCGCTACGCTCACTCAACTTTTGGTTGCAAATTAGCTGTTGTCATAAATGTAAAAGAAATAATAGTGCTGCACCCTGTTGGTAATCCTTGTTACTTTAATGCTATTGAACATCATAGAACAGAACCAACTTGTTTAATTGAAACAGCTGTTAAGATTCATTAATTCCATTTCTCATAAGGTTAACATGGGAAACTCCAGAGCCACTGGGGCGGAGCCCTTTTAAGAATTTCGAAACGGGAAATAGTTTACGTCCGATTCGCATACCTACAGAATTTACACACCAAATTTCATAACGATCGGTGAAGTCGTTCCGGAGGAGTTTGCAGACAAACACTGTGACACGAGAATTTTATATATTAGATATTTTGCCCAAATTTGGAAAATGTTTTTATTTCTTACTAACAATTAACATTTTACATAAAAAAAACACTTTTACCCTCCCTATTGCAGCAAACCTAAGTATGTGTTAAACTGATTCTATTTAAATAGGGATAAATGTGATATTTTTAAGGAGACATTTTAGTGTAAATCCAATCAGGCAAATGGAAATTCGCTTAGTCTGCAGGTTTGCTGCGGCGGGGGTATTTTAATTACAATTGCAGATCTTCGCCAATGTTCCCGTGATTTTATTGTTGAATTCAACAAACTGTACAGAAGTTTTCCTTATTTATGGAGGGTCAAGAGAAAGGAACATATTTACTGTTATAAGAAAAAGACTTAGAGACTTTTGAAAAATACAAAGCAGTAGATTCGAATGTGAACAGAGAAACTATAATGGAATTGGTTGTCTTTTTAGTAACCAACGTCTTGACCATAGTGAGCACCGTCGTCGCTCAGACTTATTTCTTTGCTTTCTTGTAATACTGGCTGCAGATATCGACCACAGTAAAGCGGACTACACACTACACGTGCATTGAGCGCCGTGCAAGCACGTCGTGCCAAAAACTGACGAAACGTGCCAGTGTGTGGTGAACACCGTGCAAGCAGTGGCATGGCACGGTGGAAATCAAAACGAGTTTGATTTTTGGCGTGCCGTGCCAATGCACGCCGCTCTGACATGCTAGTGTGTAGGCAGTCCCGTGCCACGTGCTGGTAGTTCGACAAATTTTGACAGGGTTTGACCCTAATAATACTTTTTTATTAGTGAATCGACGGCATTTTGTCTTTGATACGACCATCGAGGTTATAACACAGTGTATCGCACGCTGTAAGTGGTGCGTGAGCCAAGACGCAGTCATAGATCTCTGTATAATATATTATAGAGCATACATCCTCCACTACAATATTGTGAACCAAGTGCCCTGCCGGCGTATATCTGTACGGCAGCGAGGTGCAAGGTCTGGACTGACCTAGGCACTAAGGCTGTTTAGTGCTGCTGCCTAGTGTATATTTTTAATGATTAATCAATTATGTCCTTAAAACATGTGTGTGCTCTGCATTTCATTTGTACGAACAGGAGATGTAATTTAGCACGTTGCAGGCTACACTGAAGATCAAGAGTGTGGGCAATAACGTGCCGTGCCAGAGCACGTCGTGCCAATATACAAAATGGCACGGCGTGCAATGCACGTGTAGTGTGTAGGCCGCTTAACACATCTTCCATGATATTACATGCTCATACACTGAAAGTTATCACATAACTACACTAAAAGCTGGTGCTAAAACCTGTACCATGTGGACGCATTTCTTTGCAACAACTTGACTGCAAAGTTTTACATGCGCAGATAAAACGTTTGCGAAATCCTTGTGTGTAGACCCCCCTTTAGGAATAAAATTTCAAATCCTTTTGTTAGGTATACTCAGGCTGGGTTTAAGCAAAGGCGTGAGCCCAGGGGCTCGCACCACAAAGGAGCCTGCACCATGATTAGAAGTTACAAAAAAAGTCACTGTTATGTTTCTTATGGTTGATAATATGGTACATTGTGCGGTGGTGTGGTCATAAATTTTCCAAATGGTCACCGTCATCTGAGAACTGACTAACACCGAAGTTAACAATTTCAATGAGAATCACGGGGTTTTTCTGGTTTACTTACCAATGCACAATACAATGGTACAGTTATGCTTACTTTTGTTGCTAACCTTGACCTAAAATAACATGAGCTTTAAATTTCATATTAAAGTTATCTTATGTCTAAATTCCTCATCTATATGCAAAACGCGCTTTGTTTTAACTGACAAAGCATTATTTTTTTTAGACCAGTCAAAACAGAACATTCCCACCATCTTGTCTTTGGCCTTCCTAATGGTCGTTTCCCTTCTGGCTTTCCTATACTCGCTTCTTTTAAAAGTGAACCCCGCTCTCTCCGTGGGCGTGTCCTGCCCACCTTATTCTCCTTGCTTTCACGCGTGCTACTACATCATAATCATTGTACATATATTCCTTATCTCCCTATTATGCCCTTTTCTCCACTCTCCATTTTCTTGTGTTGAGACATATATAATTCTAAAAATTTTGTTTTAAAAAACAATCATTTTGTTTTCTTCTTTTTTGTTTAAAATCCAAGTTTCAGCTCCATATGTTAATACTGGTCGAATATTATACTATGATATATTTTTATTTTCGTTCTATGCAAGAGATTAGTTATAGTTATCAGTAAGCCTATAGCTTAAGTTACAAAAATTTAAACAGTCATTAGACACTGGTTTGGGTGGACACAAGTGAAAAATACCCCCGCCGCAGGAAACCTGCAGGCTAAGCGAATGAATTTCAATTTGCCTGATTGGATTTACTCTAAAATATCTCCTTAAAAATATCACATCTATTTAAATAGGATTGGATTAACAAGAAGTACTTAGGTTTGTTGCAACAGGGATATATATATAAATATATAGGCTATATATATTTGATATATATATATATATACTGTATATATATATATGAATTTGAACGGATGGTGTTTTTGGTCTCTAGGGACCTCAAAATAAAAAAGTAAATCGGTCCCGGGTCCAGGTCTTACCATGAGTACTACGGTAATACCTTATTCCCTATATGGGAAATTCGCTAATAATTAAGTTACTCCTACAATCGTTAGACTATACATGCATTAAATTACTATTCTATTAAAGGATAAAGGTATTTTTCTCGGTAAAACTTACCAGAAAAAGAAAGAGTATTAAGTTCAAAGAAAACCAGTAGTATTTCATCTTCCTTGTTTGTTTCCCACGCAACCTGATTTCTATAGCTCCCAGACACCTCTGCTATGTGTTATCACTTAATTTACGACAAACTACTGATAGCTATGTAGAAGTCAGTTATAAAATGTTGTTTAAAATTGTTTGAAAACAATATTGAAATAAAATGATCATTCATTAAACTAAAAAAAATAATTCCTTTCAGTGAATTTAATTTAATGGTAATAACTGGACTCAGGACCCATTTTTTGGTTGTTTTAATGTCCCCAGAGGCCAAGAACACTATTCAAATGCATAATGCACGATAACTGCACAATTATTTATACACCCCCCACAGCAAACCTACAGAATAAGCAAATAACAATCGGTCTGATTGAATTTTTACTAAAATATTATCATAAACAAGATATATTCATTACCCATTTAAATGACATTAGATTTTACAAGGACTTTGGTTTGCTGCCATGATGAAGGTAAAAGCGTTTTTTGATAAAATGTAATAGTAGGCCCATAGGATGAAACAAATCTGAAACAATTCCGAATTTGATCAAAGTATATCCAAGCAAACTTACAGTTTTCTTTTCCTCCATAAAAATAGAACTCATGAGAATTTTAAACGTACAGTTTCTTTGGAATTCTCTCTGAGACCTTTTAGACGTTTTTCTCGCTAGGAATATATACTTTATTCCGTAGTTATAGTGGGAAAGACGTCACCAACTCTCGCCAGCGGATCGCTCAAGTCAGCGCCCTGTGCAGTTTCCAGGGTTCGTAAATTATTAATTAAATAACCTGTCACAGGTACAGATTTGTATGTAAATCAGGTGTGAACTTAGTACCGATAACACACAGCGCTACTGTACCATCATCATCGCTCACACCTGGGTGTATCTAATTGAATTCAATTTTGAAATAATTGAGAAAACCTTGTCACCTCGTATCTATATTGTAAACACAATCCAAAACGATATATTTAGCCATATAAATTTTTTCACCAATCCACACGAGCCCTAGCATACGCTAATGCGGACTTATGGACAGGTTTGAACACCTGATGATGACCCTATTGCAGGTTTTATGACTAAAATAATAAAGTGAGTGTTAATCGCTAAACAAATACTCTGAACAATATTAAACACTATCACGAATAATGGTGAATTACCTGTATACTCCAGAGAACTTTACTAAACCCACTTAGCACAACGCAAAATCACTTTTAGAGCGGCAAAATCACTCAACAAGAACCACGTCCTAACGCTGTTAATCGCAGGGTCAGAATGTTCCAATCATCCCTCGCCCAAGAGGGATCTCAACCCTCGCACCCGGTCAGGAGGAACACACATCTTTCAGACTGGGCTTTCTGCTTTACCACAGTTTAACTGTCCAGCCCTAATGCTAATTCTTGAATCGACTGGGCCAGTTTGACACGAACGCCGACATTCGTTCATACCATCGCTCTTTGGTAGACCCCTCGTCCAGTTTATCAGAACGAGTGCGGACACGCCAGCATCATCACCTGACGACGTAGAGCCAGCTGGTGGGTCTCCTGATGGCTTGTTGTCCTTGACAACCTCGCCACCTTCGAAGGCAGCTACCCTCTTCAGATCATGGCAGGGTCCGTCATCAAAATCACTTGGTCCCACTCCCACTGGATACCTAGATAAAGTGTCGACTACCCTGTTCAATGTGCCTTTGCGGTAATTGATTTCAAAATCATGTTGCTGGAGCTCCAAGACCCACCGAGCTAATCTACCGCTCGGTTTTCGTAATTTCATGAGCCAGCTAAGAGAGACATGATCTGTAATCGCCACAAAGTGGTAGCCTTCCAAGTAGGGCTTAAACTTCCTTTTCCGTCGTGGAGTACTTGGATTCCTGGTCAGTCAGCAGGCGACTCACATACGCAATAATCCACCTCCTTGCCCTCAACTTCTTGGGTTAAGGCAGCACCCAGCCCAACATTCGAGGTGTCAACCTGCACCGTGAAGGTTTTTTTGAAGTTGGGGGCATGCCAACACAGGAGAGGAGCATAAAAGCTCCTTCAATTTCTGAAAAGACGACTCTTGCGCTTCACCCAATCGCCACTTCATGATTTTCTCAAGCAGATGTCGTAGAGGCGCAGATACCGTTGCAAAGCCTTCAATAAAACGCCGATACCAGGACGCCAGACCCAAGAAACTACATAGCTTCTTGATATTGGTAGGTGTAATCGACTGAACCTTTTCCGGGTCAGTGGTTATCCCATCAAAATTAATCACGTATCCAAGATACTTCAACTGGCGTTTGCAGAAGTGGCATTTTTCAGGGGTCAGCTTTAAGCCAGCAGCACACAGTCGGTCAAATACCAGTTTCAGGAGTTCGACGTGCTCCGCAAAGGTTGTTGACACCACTACCAAGTTGTTAAGGTATGTGAAGACCTTAGGTTCAAGTTCGACACCTATAACCATATCGAGCAACCTCTGAAACGTCGCTACGGCTGAGTGCAGTCCAAAGGGCATAAAGGTAAACTGGTATAGCCTTCAGCTGGGAACCGTAAACGCGGTTATCGCCCGGCTTTCAGCTGCCAGTGGGACCTGCCAATACCCACTCTTAAGATCCAAGGTGCTTGTGTACATGGCTTGGCGTAACTTTTCCAAGATTCCATTGATCTGGGGCAAAGGATACACGTCCTTAACCGACGAGTCATTTACCGATCGTATGTCAATGCAAAATCGGTAGGTGCCAGATGTTTTCTTAATCAACACCACCGGCAAGCTCCAAGGACTTGTGGAAGGCTCTATCACCCCGTGCCGCAGCATCTCGTCAACCTCTTGGTCGATTATGGCTTGCATAGTGGGGTTACGCGGGTAGTACCGCTGTTTAATCAGCACTGCATTCTCTTTAAGCCAATGTTTTTTGCTCAACCAGAGAATTGAGTCCCGAAATGGCCTACAATTTTAGCCAGTTTCTGTTCCTCCTTTGGTGCAAGAGCGTAAATCGCGCTGAGGTTATTATCACCCGTCCCCGCAACCTCGGTAGGCAAAATCACCCTTCGATCAACACGGATCAGGTTAAGCTCCTCTAAACACCTCATTCCCAGAATCAGATCGCACGTAAAATTCGGGACATAATACACCTCCCATGAATGGGCTTGCTCACCCACCTGAAATCTGCTACAAGGACCCTGCTTCACGGCTCGAACCATCAGCCATTCTCATTAGGTACTACACTGACGGTGGTGGGGTTCACACCCCTGTCGACAAGGAGTTTTTTGGATTCGCGGCCCAATGAGATTGACACTAGCCCCAGTGTCAACCAGTGCTCGGAAGGTTTTGCCAAACAATTCCACCTCTACAAAGGGTCTAACGTCACCCCGGTCGACACCTTCCACGGTTCCCGTGAAACCCTTCACATATTCGAGCCACTGATGGCATATCTGGGAGGTCGTGCGTTAGACTTGGCTGACCTCTGTGGCTCTGAGTCCGGCCACCGTTTCCCGCGCGACATCCGCACTGGTACGTGGTAACGCCCTCTGTCTTGCAAAAATAGCAATGCAACCTCTTAGGCTTTGGGCAATGTCTGAAGCGGTGGCCGCGCTGATCACAATTGCAGCACACCAACCCGCCTCTTCTTGGGTTAAGCATGGGCTCTAGGTTCTTGCCACCGGGCGCACACCTACTTAACTCTGACATCGTTCAGCTGAGTTTCGAATTATTTCCCCATCACCACGGGTCGCAGGAAATATTAGGGATTGAGCCGTGAACGCGGGAGACAATGATGTTGTTATCTGATGTCATAGGTTTGGTAGCAATCACGGTAGACTATGATAATGTTTCTTCCATGACTATGGGAAATATTCACGATTTTGCCTCGATCATGGAAGACAATAATGACACCTCGGTGTCACGGGAGATGCCATGCCAAGCAAAAGTGCAAGTTTAGGCGGTAATACATGTGATTATGTTTTTGCCCGGGCAAACAAACTTGCAGGGGGCCCGTGGGCTCTTATCGCTGCCACTGATTGGCTAAAACTTTTAGCATGGCAGTTGGGTGTCTACTTGGTATTTAATTTGCAGTCAAAAGGTATTTCTGATTAAATTGCTAACAAAATACAAAGCGTGATATGTATTAATGATAACTTTGGTGAGTCGGTGTCTCAGTTGGTAGCGTCACGGTCTTCGGGCCCAAGGCAGCGATGTCGTGGGTTCGGATCCTGGTCACTGCCAAAAACATTTTATCCGTACAGTTCACCTTTGTACTGTACCAGCTCACCCCTTGCTTTGCTGGATACGTTCCACGCACGGGCAGTTAGTCTATGTGGACAGGCAAATGCAAGGTTAAAAGAGGCTGCCAACGTCAAAAAAAAAAAAAAACTAAAACATAAAATAGGTCATAGTAAACTTTATATAAATTATTTGAAGATAGTTTTCACCGTTCTGTTCTATAAAAATTAAATACTATTTCATAAATCAATACTTTTTTTTACATATGGTTGGGTTTAAAAAAACAAATAAATACTGCATTACAATCAATCAATCAACCATGTCTATTAGCACATTATGTACAGAGCTTACAGATAAATGTACAGGTGCTTTGTCATTCTTACTACAACATTTTAAATAGGCCTAGTCCTTCATCAAAACTAAGTAACAATCTTAAAAGAAAACAAATTGTATGAACTTAATTTAGGAAACATATTGCATAGCCCAACTGAACAGTAGACTAAAGATACTGTCAAGATTAAAACTAAATAACAGAATTTATAAAATTTAATCATAAAACATACCTGCAAAACATAAAAACGTACAAAACAGTTATGGTAGTTATTTATCTATAGATTAACTACCAAGTTAAAAGTTAAGTCTCATCCATTCCTAGGCCAGGTGACTTATCCGAGAAAGATTAAACCTACTTTCAGTGACTGTTAAAGTCTAGGTTCTGTAAATGTGTACATAAATAGATTGACCTGTAAGGCAATTAATTGGTAAAACCCATAACTTAACTTAATCAATAGATTATTAAACTTTGTTTGCCGATTAGTTTGACACCTACAATACTCAGCAAAATTTGCCAATAAAAATGTAATTGATTTAATTTGTTTTAGGAAAACATATTTCTTCATGGGAAAAAGAAGAAAAAAGTCAGCCTGTAATCAAGAAGTTCAGAGCAGCCATGTTCAACAGAGGAAGTAAACCATCAACATCCTCATCTGTTGGAGAAAGCCCTTCAGATGCTTTTTTTCAGGCTGAAGAAAAGTTACTGAGTGGTGGGGATTGGAAGGTTCAAAAGAATCGACAAAGAAAAGGCAACAAGAAAAAAAACGACAGTGATACAAATAAAAAGGGTGTTGAATTGTATAAAAATGATACAACTCCCTTTGTAAACAAGCAAGAAGTCACAAGGAAAACTGACACTCGAACATCTTTTAGTGTTTTGTCTAAATGTCAGCCATCCAAAGCAAGCCAGAACCAAAATGAAAGCAATAATAAAGAATATAAAAAACCAAGCAACAGCTTTTCTAAAACGGGTAATAAAATTGACCATAGACAAATGCAAAACCCTAATGTCGGTGATGGCAAAGACAAAAGAAAAACTCATGGATTTAATAATTCCTCAGGAATACTTACATATTCGAAGCTACAAGCAATGTCTTCGAAAGATTCCACAGATATCATAAGAATTTTAGCCAACAGTAACTCAGGTCTAGATGATTTCCTACAAAGCGATATTAGACCAGATATGATGTACCTCATCATTAAGATTTTGAAAAAACTAACCGAATCTGATTGGGAAGAAAACAAGCAGCATGTATTAATGAGAGTTTGTTCTCCAGAGTTTTTTAAAAAACTAACTGAATTTGTCACCAATTTAGCAACCGATGACCAAAGTTATAAAAGAAAAGAAGAAATGGAACAGTTTTTTGACAATTTACTCACTTTTTTTTACACAGTTATGATCATGTTGCCATCATTTGCAGCAGATCATCTAACCAGACCGCTAAGAATGACTAAAATGGCAATGGGCAGTGTTGAGGAATTTCAAAATGTTACACTTAGTAAGAGTGTAAATGACAAATTGAAACAGTTGTTGAATGATTTTGAGGAGAGAAAGAAGGAGAAAGAAGATAGAGAGCATATTAATAAAGAATCTAAAGAAGAATTCTATCCAAAACCATTAGGGAGCATAAGTGAAGTTTCTATTTTCCCTCGTCCAGAAGATATAGAAAATAGTCACGGAGCAAAGTTGCCAAAGAATAAGGTTAAAGGCCCTTATAATGATGTGGAGCATTACTTAGATGTCCAATTCCGTCTTCTCAGGGAAGATTTTATTGCTCCTGTTCGACAGGGAATTCAGGAATATCGAGTGGGACAGATATCTAAAAAAACAAATAAAAAAACTACCAATCTTAGAATATATCCTAAAGTCAAGTTCTTAAAACCTACTGTGGTAAATGATAAAGTGGGGTATGATATTTGTTTTGATCCTGAAAAGCGAATGAAGGTAAAATGGGAATACTCAAAACGGTTCATATTTGGATCCCTTTTGCTTTTTACCAATGACAATTTCCATACATTTTTTCTGGGAACTGTCATAAATAGAAATTTATCAGCACTTGAAAAAAACAGAACAATAACTGTCTTGCTTTGTGATACAAATAACATATCTTTATCCAATCATATTTTTACCACAAACTTTCTCATGGCTGAAAGTGAAGTATATTTTGAACCATACTCTAATGTGTTGAGAGCTCTTCAAAGATTCAACAGTGAAACATTTCCTTTGAAGAAATATATAGTATTCACAGAAAATAAAACTAATCGCCCTGACCATACAAAAAATGGCAGTGATATCTATACCATCTCACTTGGCGACAAGCCACTCTGTGGTGGAAAGACACTGAAACTGTTTGATGATTCTACATGGCCATCATGTGATGAACTAGGTTTTGATACTTCCCAACTAAATGCTTACAAAGCAGCCTTGACAAATGATCTTGTGGTTATTCAAGGACCTCCAGGCACAGGAAAGACCTATTTAGGTCTTAAAATAGCAGCTGCTTTGTTGGAAAACAAAGCAATGTGGAGTTGTAACCATCACACTCCAATTTTGGTTTTGTGTTATACTAATCATGCTCTTGATCAGTTTCTTGAAGGAATCATTGAAAAGGGTCTAAGTAACAATCTTATTAGAATTGGTGGAAGAAGTAAAAGTGAATTGCTTGAAAGTTTCAATTTGAGAGAAAGGAGAAGATCAGTAGCAATTTACAATTCCAGCTATGAACAGGCTGCTCTTCTGAGAAATATAAAGAGGGATATGTCAACTATATTTGAAAGTATTAAAATACTACAAGACAATCTTGAACATTTAAATAACAATGATGGTGTCTTAGCACTTAGAACATTGAAAATTGTTATGAGTGATCATCAAAAGAACTTCTTCAGGAACAATGATGATTTGATTGAATGGTTGCTCTATGGTATAAGAAAACAAGTCAGATCTCAGAAAACTGTTCTAACTACGGATGAAATACAGTCTAAGAGACTAAATAATACTGTTGAATTAGTATTTGACCCATCAGACTTTGAAAACGTAACTCGTCTAAAAGAGGTACTTTTTGATGGCTATGAGTTGGAGGAAGAAAATGAGCAGGAAACTGGTTCTGGTATAGACTTGCGAATATATTATACGTGTACTTTAGATGAAATAAAAAAAAAAAAAGAAGATCACACACAGATGTTGGATGCTATTCCTGGATCTGAAGAGAGTAGAGATGAAATAAGACGGAGAATGCGGGAGACAAAGAAAGCTGAAAGTGACTTAATTTTGATGCATGCATATTTTGAAAAGAAACTTAAGACTGGTCTTCCTTCATCCACCACAAACACAGATTGGCTTAATGATGTTAGAGACTTGAACAGTTTGGACGACAACCAAAGATGGTTACTCTATAGAAATTGGATAAGTCTCCTCAAGGAAGGGTTTTTGATGCTTCTTTGTAAGCAAGAGGAAAACTACAGAAAAGGTGGACGTCGCTATGATGAAGTTAGGCAATTTGATGACTTGCGCATTGTTCAACAAGCTGATATTGTTGGTGTTACTACAACAACTGCTGCAAGACTCCAAGCCATGCTTCGAGAACTGAAGCCGAAAATTGGTGAGTTTGTATTTTTTTTAAGTTCTTAGTTAAAATTAAAAAAATTAAATAACCATTTAATAATTCAAAGTTCAATTATATATTTTTCAATTGCTATTTGCATCTGAAACTGTATCTTGTGGGTAAATACCTCAAACACTGTCCATTTAAGTAACTTTTGGGTCATGTGGATAAAAATCCCTGGCACTAGTGGTTAATCTCTCCAAAAAACTTTATTGGAATTAATTAAATCACTCACTATCTATGGTATTGAATTGTAATTATTTTGCAGTGATAGTAGAAGAAGCAGCTGAGGTACTAGAAGCTCACATTGTAGCCTCCCTCTCAGTTCACTGTCAGCACTTGATCCTCATTGGTAAATATCATCTTTCACTTTGTACAGACCTGTGTCTGAGATTCTCAAATCAAATCAAATCAAGTAAAACAACACAAAACATTACATCAATTGCTTACAGCAGTAATTGGTGACACATCAATTTTCAATGTCTTAATCTATAAACATAGTGACACCAAATTCATATTTTACTAATATCCAAGAAGGTGGCTGCTGAAACTCTGGGATGGAGTAATAAACCTTATTCAACATAATTTTCTTGTTTCTAACTTTGAAAACATTTACACTTGTCCCTTGATAATCTTACTCTTTGTAAATTGCATAAACTGTTTAGTATTGTTTACTTCTTCGTGTTTCCTACTGACTAGACTCTGTAAGAATAGTCCTAATAGTTCATCTCAGTTCATAGCCACTATCTCACCTGAATATTTTGTATTCCTAGGTGATCATAAACAGCTGCGGCCATCGGTTGCTGATTACAAAATTGGTAAGGACTGTAACCTGGAGGTATCACTCTTTGAGCGGCTGATAAACAACGGCATAAATCTACACACATTGACAACCCAGCATAGAATGAGGCCTGAAATCTCAAAGTTGCTTGTGCCAACAATCTACCCGACCTTGGAAAATCACATTACGACTCACAACAGGGAGCGAATACGAGGCATTGATAGAAATGTTTTTTTCATGACTCATAACAACCATGAGGAAGAGGTTAGCACTCTAAATAAACTAGATAATTAATAAATCTGTTAATAATACATGGAAATTTGTAATCCAAAACTTAACTGTTAAGTTTCATTTATTAAATTTTTGGATTAATTCTTCAAGACTCCTATATAGATATTACTGTGACTTTTTTTACAGCACACAGTGAAAAGATCTCTTTGTCACCCGAAAGCTAAGTTGAAGTCTAGTGTATGTTAAGACCTCACCAAACAAAAATAAAATAATTACAATATTAACTTCTATTAATCTCCAGGGCCGCCGAGAAAAATCCTGGGCCCCTATGCAATTTGCTACTCGCCCCCCCCCCCCTTCGACTACAAGAGTAATGCTCTTTTATTTTTGTAGAAGTAATTTTAATATCGCATTTATCCAAAATCAAATATAAATAGCACAAGCTCTATTTTCGTCTATTATAAATTACTAGGTGAAACCCATCAAAATCGACGGTTACTTTCAAGGCTTACGTTAATTCAAACTGCGATAAATTGGGTAAAATATACATTGTGCATTTAGCATTGATTATAGAGTAATGAATGTAAAAACAATAATGATATTAATTGCGTTATTTGCCAAATTTGGTTGATCATTAAATGAATAAAATATTCCCCATACCGTACGTCATAGGAGTTATTATTGGTATGTTATATGGTATCTCTTCCTTTGGAAGAACCTTTAAATAGTATTAAAATCGTATTGGTGGATCTTTTGTAGTTAAACACTTCCGTGATTTCATCAGTGTAATATGATTTTATTTCAAAAGAAAATATTTTTTGGGAAGACATATTCTAACTTCAATGAAAGGTGTATCCGTTACAGTGTAAGTTTGACCTTTCCTTTGTCACGTCGCGTCAGTTCATATCGTACTTCTGTGCCAATGAGTGAACCCTCTAGCATAGTTTTGAGAAATTGATTGTGGGGTTACTGTTAAAACAGGAATTCCTTGACATGGGGGATGTCAGTTAGTTGTCTCAGCCTTATCAATAACATAAAGCTGTCAATATAATCTCCCTACGGAATGTTAGGTGTAGTGGAATACTTGAAGTGAAGTTGGCTTTTATTCTTGAACTGTTAGGGGCCTCCTAGTTCATATGAAAATGCGGCTTCATTGGCAACAAATAATGCAAATGACATAGCAATGGGACATTTCCAAAAAGCAAAAATACTGTAAATTGGCTGTTACGTATATATTGACGTTTACATATTGTTAATCAACGTATCTTATAAAGGATTATGTGATCTAGTTTAAAAGGGATATGACCTTTCTGTCATGACAGTAGCTGATTAAATAGTATTTTCTCTTTGTACCATATTTTACAGCCAAAATGTCCTGTTATTTTAAATAATGTTACCAAACCAGTGCGCCAAAGTCGGTAATAAAGGCAGGTGCAAATATTTTGTCAAGATGGGTACCATTTAAGGTAAGGTTTCTATGTTTAGATTTTATTAGACACGATAAGAGCAGATATTTCTACATAAATGTTTGATATGTGTAGAATAATACGATAAAATGTAGGCAAAAGTGGTGAAAAAGGCATAGACACCAACCCGTACAATAGATATAAGATAGTTCAATAAGAAATAATTTAAGAATTGCTGTGATAAAAGGATTTTCCACTGATTTCGTAATGGAACGTTATATTGCAAAACATGACAATGATAAAGAAGAAAATCAATTTTAAAATCAGAAAATAACATTGCAAATACTTATTTGGTAGAATTCAGCAGTTACTCACAATAAATGTGTGTTGTTTGAAATACAATTTAAAAATGGACAGCTGTTTCATTAAAAAGTATTATCATAGACAAAAAGAATGAAATATAGACTGTCAGCCGTGCTGCGGTTGCCATGGTTACCATAGGTTCCGGCGCACACCGCTGTAGTTTACGTAGCGCGTACGCCGTAACTACCGTGGTGCTCCAAGCGGTGTGCGCCAGAACCTATGGTAACCGCAGCACAGCTGACGGTCTATATTTAATTCTTTTTGTCTATGGTATTATTCACATGGCCAAAATGTAAACAACTCTGTGGAGGGATCTTTAAAGGCTTCTGTTATTTTGACACGTCGTTTGTAAAAATCCGTCCATTATTAACGGAGGAGTAGTGTTTCGTAGAAATCGCCTTCACGTATTATATATAAGGATAATGTCGGTGATGTTTGTTACTTTTTTACAAGCATGATACTCGTGTTAAAAGAATATTATTATTTTTAATTAACTCCAATACATTGTAAAAACAAGCCTACACAGTCAATGACCATTCTCTCCACCACTGTTCTTTGATTAGATTTTGATTTTACCTTAGAGATTGTCATGCGAAATTCGAGAAAGTCAACGATATAAATATTACAAAACAATCCAATGTAATCGTTGACTCCTTTAAATTTGTTATTTTAATCCAGGAAGAACCATTGTAGAGTTGACAAAAAACAAAGATTTGTCTTTCCAACTTTCTAACCTTAAAAAAAATGTTGATTGTTGTTTATTACTAGTATACATGTTGCTCGAAATCAAGCAATTGCAAAGAAGTTCAGTAGTTACAGTATTTAAAAAATAACTTATTAATTTAAAAACGAATAAAATAAATAATTTCCAATGAGTTTAAAAGACTCAACTCATGGATTACGTACCTAACAGTTCCATATAATCAACATTTCTTGCAAATATTTTATCATTTTTCAAAAGCTGGCTTTTTAGTGTTGGTATTCTACAAATCTTTCCCACTTATAGCCACATTAGGTTGTCCATGTTGATCTTCGTCAATGATAATGTAGTCTGCTGCTACCCGTTGTCGCCAGTACGTTTACAAATTTCGTTCGTTTTTATAGCGATAACATTTTGTTTACATAACTTAAGAACTGCCTGATTTTCTGCATAACCTCTCTGTCACAATTTTATTTGCTTCAATTGGCATTAATTTGGCTAGTTACTGTTATAACGTAAATTATATATTTACCTAAATAAAATGCAGAATTGAAAGGCCTAATGTTGTTTAGATGGTTTTTCGTTTCTCTTAAATATGAATAATAATGGGAACTATGCGAATCCTTCAATGAAAGTTTTTATCAAGGTTTCTTGGATGTATTCATATTATTTTAAAATCAATTGACTTTTATGAAAACATATATTTAATGTCCTTGCTGTACCAGTTTAATTTAGTTTTCCTTTGCCAATCATCATAAAGTTAAGTCCGTGTTTTTCTACAAAGTAGTAACAATTCGGCTAACATCCTCGTTCATTGTTCATAGGATGATAACGAAAGTAAATGGTTTTTTAAATCTCTATTTCTTCTACTTGGTGGCGTTCTATGACTTTCCTATGTTTCCATGGTAAAAAAATCGGCTCTTTCAATGATTGCTCAAGAAATACAGTACTGTACTCTGTATGTACAAATGTAAATTAAAGTAGTAAATATTTAATTTCAACAAAATCTGTAAATTTACCCAATGCGTTTTGTTGAATCCTTATATATAATTCTGTAAGACAAAATCTTTACCAGAAAATTTTGGACGTCTGGTGAGTCGCAGAAAAATGGGAGGGGTCTTAAATTAAAGGTCTTGACCCCAGGGACTCGGGAAAAATAGCAGAATTTCCATAAAGTTGCCAAAAAACGAGATATAACGTAAAATGTTCTCCATAAGAATAGCATTAGAAGCCATTTTCTGCTAATTTTCTTTACTTCAATACAGCTGATCGTGATTTATCATCAAGCCAGTACTTAATGTTAACATTTGGATTATACTTATTTGCCAGTACATTCAGCAATGTACTATATAAAACCAGGGATAACGTTACCTATAATAATTAAGACTTTTTGGTTCCGTTATAGAATGTGAAAATAAATTATTTTACTGTGGAATTTTTCAAGTTTGTTTATTTTTCAACGTTTAACATGAAATAACCACATTGAATAAATAATCAACAATTCAAGATTAAATGGAAAACTTTTGCTTTGTTTTAGCTTCAAAACATATGTTCAAGATTTATTCTACACTTTCTTAGTAATTTTACCAAAATTTTAAATTTGAGATTTATTGTAGTGTTTTACTCTTAGAAAATAACCTGGAATAAAGTTGGAATAGGTTCGAAAAGGAAATAAATATTTGTTAATTAAGTAAGTACTATGATAAGTTACAATGGGAGGAAAAACACTATTGTTTGGAGATTTTAAACAGATACTGTCTGTTGCTCTAAACAAAAAAGGTTAAAATAATATTGCCTAGCATGTATGGTATATAAAGGGAGCATCCACATATAACAGTAAAACCTAGAGGTAGTTTCCGTTGCTTTACGTTTCTTAAACAAACCAAAAATATGCATGTCAATTCTGATGAAAAGTAATTTCGTGATTGGTTTCGTTAACTGGGTAATGGAATCCTAAAAAGTCGCTAAAGAGTTAAAAATCAGCCGATGATTATTAATTTGATAGAATATGTAACGTCAATCGCACATTTAAGAGGAATGCCACCACATAATGTTACACTAACTGTAGTTTGTTTTATGTTGATCAGAAAAACATCTAGGGTTAAGTTTGGTCAATGGGATGCCTTTACTTTACACTTAATGTTGTTAACCCTTAACAAAAGGAGTATAAACCTAGAAATATTAACTGCGTATGGATGCTAATTTAGCGGGTTTGGCCAAGAACTAATCTTACCTCAACACACCTTTATTTGCCTGTTCATATTTGACGAAGACAATTTCCAAAATTCCAATCAGGGAAGCCTTTTTTTATCACCATTAACCACAAGACCAAAGCTATCTTAACCCTCCGAGTGTCCATAGTTTAGGCCTTAATGTCCGCCTATTTTTGGCGCATTTGCAAGGTTTTATTAAAACGGATCTGAGAAGCTTAAAACAATGTCAATTCTACTGTTCTATACACCATTTTGTTTGGAAAATCATGGGCTTCAATATTATACATAAAACATAAGGAACATTTGTTTCAAAAAAATTTTTTAGGTAGGTAAAAAAAAAATATTTTGGAAAATTTTCAAAAAAAAATAAGTTTGCGCTCAATGAAATTGTATAAATTATAGGCCTATAAATATTTGAAAATAGCCACTTTGTTCTAAATTTTATGAGGATTACAAATATATAATAATATAAGGAAGTAGATTTGCAAATAAATAAGTTATGGGCAAAAAACAGATTTCAGTACATAGCGTTTAGCTAAGAATGCATAGCCTAACCATAGCTAGGAATCTGGCTGATAATTTACATCAATATCACTACCTACTTCTTCAGGATCATCAACCAGCCCTTCAAAATCACTTAAATCTTCTTATAATGCACCACGTATATCACTACTTTTGATTTTTAACACTAAAACAATGATAAACGTAATATTAGAATAATTTGTTTTACATTATTGCGCTTTTTAGGGACTTATGTCCCTTAAAGCCACTAGTTGATAAATAAATACCTAACCTTAATGATGTGATGCTGATCAAAATGTAAGCAATTATGTTCTTCATAAGGATAACATGGGAACTGTCAAAGCCACTGGGACAGAGCCCAAGAGACTTTTTCAAAAATGTAAGGCCAGTTTGCAAATCTACGCGACACGCTCTTTCCAATAAGATGTCAATGGATAAAATCGGTTAAGAAATGGCGGAGGAGTTCACCGACAAACTTCGTGTTCGCGTATTAATTATACTAGCTGTTACCCACGGGCTTCACCCCGTTTGACGTCATAAGTATTAATAAAACTATTGATTGGTTAAGTTAACCTGAAATAAACAAAATTCAGTAAAAGAAACAAATAATCACACCTGGTTATAAGGTAATAAATTGAAAGAATAACAAACAAATAAGTACTGCTGAGGTATTTTTAACATTAGGTATATGAAAAGTCCCCTTTAGAAAGGAATTACAACCTTAAAGGGCAATTTATGAAATAATGGATAGTTTTGCGCAAGGTTTCTCTTCATAACGAACATTTTAAGTATATGTTTTGTGGGGGTGTGACTTGTAGTATTCTCAAAAGTTCATGGGTACTTTTGGCTTTATATATGGATAGATTGACATTATTTCAGTAGCATTGGGTTAATATACAAAAACGGCCCCCTTTAACCAACCTAAATTTGGCCAAAACTTAAAATTACATAGTATAGATAACAAAAAAGATTCCTAAATAAGACGGAACAAGCCTGCTGGAAAAAGTCACAAAGTGTTAATAGTTGGTCTATTGTCTGTCAATCATAAAACACAGATTAACATATATGAGAAATATGACACAGTAACACATGGTAAACAAATATAATTGGTAAAACGTGATGTATTAAGTTTTATGTTGTTAGGTGGTTGATATAATGAGCAAGAGGAACAAGTTTGAAGCCCGCATGGTGATGTCACTTGCCAGACATCTACTGCTGCAGGGGTACAAACCTGACGAGATAACTGTGCTCACCACCTACAGTGGCCAAATGTATCTCTTGAAAGAAGTAAGTCAACTTCATGGGAATCCCCATTCATTTATGAGATTGTATCTTGTTGTTAAATATCTAAAAAACGTTTATGATTCACTTCAGAATCTTGCTATCTCATGTCTACAATAGTATGTTAAGTTGAAGAAAATTAATTTGCAATAGTTTTCAACCATTTACATTTTCTATTCCTTTGGAAAAGTGTTTATGCAATCGAAGGTGTTGGCCAGGTATAAAATCAAATCAACATAAAATTTTTTAGAGTATTAAAAACTGTCACCAAAAGTATTTATTGTTTTAAGTCCTGATATGAAGCTTGCTCCTCCAGAAAAAAATTATCCATGCCCACCAGTAACTGTACCTATAGATTTTAAAATTGTGTAGTTAACTAGCTGGCCCGACAGACGTTGTCCTGTCCTAATGTGGTTTAATGTTAATGCTCGTTCATTTTCAAGATGAGCTCGTTCGCATGGCTCAATTACGGCCTGGTTGAAGTTCGTTCACTACGCTCACTCACCTTTACATTAATTAAACTATTATAAAAGTTTTTTATAATTTGTAAAAATTTGTTATAAATTCGTTATAGTTGTTGTTTTTTTGTTCTCTGCGCTCACTTGCCTCAGGTTGGCTTGTTCGCTACGCTAACTCGCCTCCAGGTTGAAGTTTGTTTGCTACGCTCACTCATCTTTTAGTTACAAATTAGCTGTTGTCATAAATTTAAAAAAAATAATAGTGTTGCACCCTGTTGATAAACATATCAACCATTTAATGCTATTGAACATCACAGAATCAAATTGAACCAGCTGGAATTAAAGTTCTTTAATTCCATTTAAATATGAGTACTCATAAGGTTAACATGGAAAACTCCAGAGCCACTGGGGCGGAGCCCTTTTGACGAATCTGCACCAAACTCCACACAAACCATCCTTGAATAATGCTTAACAATGCCTGAAAGTTTCATTACAATCTGTCAAGCGGTTTCGGAGTCCATAAAGGACAAAGAAACAAACATACATTGGATTTTATATAGACTAGCTGGCCCGACAGACGTCGTCCTGTCCTAATGTGGTTTTATGTCAATTGCTTGTTCATTTTCAAGATAAGCTCTTTCGCATGGCTCAATCACGTCCTGGTTGAAGTTCGTTCGCTACGCTCACTCACCTTTAGGTTGGAGCTCGTTCGCTGCGCTCACTTGCCTTCAAGTTAGCTCGTTCGCTACGCTAACTCGCCTCCAGGTTGAAGGTCGTTCGCTACGCTCACTCACCTTTTGGTTGAAAATTAGTTGTTGTCATAAATAAAAAAAAAATAATAGTGCTGCACCCTGTTGGTAAACCTATTTACTTTTTAATGCTATTAAACATCACAGAATCAAATTGTTTAGTTGAACCAGCTGTTAAGATTCTTTAATTCCATTTAAATATGAGTACTCATAAGGTTAACATGGGAAACTTCAGAGCCACTGGGGCGGAGCCCTTTTGACGGATCTGTAACAAACTTCACACAAACCATCCTTAAATACAGTAGAGTCCCGCAAACTCGGCGTAATGTGGACTGGAAGGGTGCCGAGTTTGTGAAATAACGGGTTATCGGAAACTAGGGTTAAAAACAAGAACAATACCATTTTTAAGCTTATTAACTACCTCTTTTATTTATATTTATATTTTTATACAAGTTAGTATCAAGTCATCAGATATAGTACAAAAAACCATTTGTACGAGCTGAGAATGATTTTACTTGAGCTGGCTTGAGTCCATGTTTAACTCAGACTAAAAAAATCACCAATTTTCTGAGCCAGGTGATGGCCGAGTTATCCAGACTGCCGGGTTATCGAGTGCCGAGTTTGCGGGACTCTACTGTAATGCTAAACAATGCCTGAAAGTTTCATTACAATCTATCAAGTGGTTTCAGAGTCCATAAAGGGCAATCAAACAAACAAACAAACAAACAAACATACATTGGATTTTATATATATAGATAAGCATTCTTTTACTTTTCATAAATTTTCTTTGGTTGGCAAAATAAATAGATTTTTGCTAAGTAATCAAATTTCTAAATAAATTGTATTTTTAGGAGCAAACTCGACTTGATATCCCTCAAGCCTTGCATGTTACTGCAGTTGATAATTTCCAAGGAGAGGAGAATAGAATCATCCTGTTGTCATTGGTGAGGAGCAATGCAGAGAACCGAATTGGATTCCTGAAAACAGAAAATAGAGTGTGCGTGGCTCTGTCTCGAGCTCAGGATGGGCTCTTTGTGTTCGGTAACATGGACTGCCTAATCGCAGGATCTTCTAATACATTGTGGCAGCGCATCAAGCAGTCATTTGTAGACCAAGATGCTTTTGGTAATTTTATTTATTTTCTTCACAAACATTTACAAAGATATTTTCGACTTTTCGGATGAAGTGCTTTATAGTCTTGGCTTGCCCCTGTTAGATAAGATAAGATAAAGAAGTCCTATATTTAATCTTAAGTATAGGAGGATTACTCCATCAATGATTATTTAAAGGACAATGATCCATAAAGATAACTTCTATTATGACTGGACCTATTTTTCATGTTATTTATTTATTTTTAAGAATATTGAGGACAATCAATATCACCTGTTTCCCCAGGTGTGCTGGAACACTGGAAATGAATATTTACTGTGACAAAAGTTATAACAGTAGAATAATAAGTGAATTCTTGATTCTATTCAAGGCAACTTTTTTTAGTTTATATCATTGCTACTAACATCTCTGTGGTTTTAGTAAACAGTCCCTGGAAAATTCTCATTGTTATTGCTGTTACCTATGAGTAATCTCTGTCCATTTTAGTGTGAATCATTTTAGTTCCCCATTTTGTTATTGGTGGTACAATTTTTATTTTCTTAATGTCAATTGTTTATTTTCATTGAGACCTGTACAATGAATGAAAGTCTGCTATACTTCCTATTTGAACATTTTAAGCTACCCTTCTCCCACTACCCTTAATGGTAATTTTTTTTATTGAACATCATTATTGTAGCCCCCTTATCTCAAAAGTTTGCCACAATTCAAAATATCTCAAAAAGTAAAACATTTAAGGGGTGTGCATGTTATTTTTCAGCCAGCCCTGAATGTTTTAATCCTGTGTGTATAATAATACCGCTATTAATAAAATACCCCCGTCGCAGCAAACCTGCATACTAAGCGGATTTCCATTTACCCGGCTTGATTTCTTCTAAAATATTCCCTATAAATTTTCAGATTTTTTTTCTATTTAAATAACATTAATTTTAGTGAGTAGTTAGGTTTGCTGTTACGGGGAAGATGTTGAGGTGTGTTTTTTCAATTGAAATATTGATAGCTTAGTATGAAATAAACCAAATTGCCAAATTTGATAAAAATATATCCATAAACAAGCAAACTAAAACAGTTTATTTATTCTCCATAAGAATAACATATGAATTTTAAATTTAACATTTTTTTAATTTTCTCCGTAGTCAATGAACATTCAAAAACACTTCAATATACTGAATTGTTTGTTTTTTTTAAGCTCTTCAAAATGGTCTAGAGAGAAATTTAGAAATTTAAAGTTTTTAGGGTCAAAAATGAGAAAAACCCATTTTTACCCCATAAAAACCCCCATAAACCCCTGATTCCATGGTCCGATTATGCTGGTTCGCGAACTCGTTCGAATAAATGTAGGTTTACACGTTTGTACCAAATTTCATCAAAATCAGATCAATTTTGCTCGAGTTATCGCGCTAACGGACACATATATAAATATATATATATATATATATATATGAATTTGAACGGATGGTGTTTTTGGCCTCTGGGGACCTCAAAACGAAAAAGTAAATCGGTCCCGGGTCTAGGTCTTACCATGAGACCTACGGTAATAGCTTATTCCCTATATGGGAAATTCGCAAAAAAAAAAAATAATGCTTAAAGGTTGTTTGGTTAATACTTTCAAATTTAAAAAATTAAATTTAATTAAAAAACCATTAATTAATTTTAATTTTAATTTAATTTAATTAAAAAAATAATTTTAAAAAATAAATAAGTAATACAAAAAATAATAATTAAAAAAATAATTAAAATAATTATTAATAAATTAAATAAATAATAAATAATTAATAATAATTAATAATTAAATTAATAATTAATAATTAACATAATTAATGTAATTAAAAAAAAATATATATATATTTTTTTAAATAATGCTTAAAGGTTGTTTGGTTAATACTCTCAAATTTAAAAAATTAAATTTAGGCTAATTAAAAAACCATTAATTAATTTTAATTTTTTTAAATTTAATTTTTTAATTTTTTATTTTAATTTTTTTAATTTTAAATTTAGGCAGCGATGTCGTGGGTTCGGATCCTGGTCACTGCCGATAACATTTTATCAGTACAGTTCACCTTTGTACTGTACTGGCTCACTCCTTGCTTTGCTGTTAACGATCCACGCACGGGCGCTTAGTCTATGTGGACGGGCAAATGCAAGGTTAAAAGAGGCCGCCAACCTCTTTAAAAAAAAAAAAAAGATTTACAAGTAGAATAACATCAAATGTATCACAGTTGAGTTGAGGTGGCCACCTTGCAGTTTTATCTATTGAGGAGTGTCAAGTCTTATCTAATCAGTTAACACACTACTGTCGAGTCAAAAAGTATACATACTCGAGTTTGAGCTTTTATTGCAACGTAACCAGTAGACTTAGGAAAATACAAGTTACATTATATTTTTACAAATTTATTTCTGCGTTTATTTGTGTTGGTTTTAAATTTTGTATGCAGTTTCAACTCAGACTTTCAGCGGGTTGAATGAAAAAAGTACAGGTTTTTCGGCGCTTTTCTAACAACGGGAGACTTTAACACGTTATAACTACTAATGCAAAATACTACTGATGTAATGGTCATGAAATTTTGATAGCTTTTAGAACCTATACTTATTGTGCATATTTATAAGTTTTAGAATTTTTCATAATAACAAAAAATCTGTTATGGTTTTTGTAAAAGCATTTTATTTTAGTGACGGAACAAGTTAGAAACAACAATGAAAGCTTGAATTAAAGCTCTTTAATTCAAATAATTAAATAGTTAGATAATTTAATAATTTAAATTAATTTAATTTAATAATTAAAGATACAAATGAAAAGTTAAATCACACATTAGCTAAGAGGTCTTTAATAATTAAAATGTACGTTTAATCAAAGCTGTTGTGAAATGCAATAGTGTGTGAAATTAACCATATCTACACTTAACTTATATTGGAGATTTTGGCAATGAATAATGAAATGTATAACTAAATTTAAAAAGTTCAAAAAGGCCAATATATAATATATTGTTTTAATACAGAAGACCTGCAAAGTAGGGATGGACGGGATTGAATTTTTAGTTCGGGACGGGACGGGACGGGATGGGATTTTATCATGTGCATAAAAAGATTGAGTATTGCAGTTGCCAAACAAGACAAACAAAATCAATTTTTACCATTTGTGGCACTGATCTATTAAAAAAAAAACATGGGCAAAAGTTCACAGGTATAGAAACTTGTGACTTGCGGTCACGAGGTGATCGTTGGTATTACTCGCGGTCACGAGGTGATCGTCGGTATGACTCCACGGTCATGAGGTGATTGTCGGTATGACTGCGGTCACGAGGTGATGGTCGGTATGACCATGGTCACTAAGTAATTGTCGGTATGACTCTGCGGTCACGAGGTGATCGTTGGTATTACTCGCGGTCACGAGGTGATCGTCGGTATGACTCCGCGGTCACGAGGTGATTGTCGGTATGACTGCGGTCACGAGGTGATCGTCGGTATGACCATGGTCACTAAGTAATTGTCGGTATGACTGTGGTCACTAAGTGATCGTCGGTATGACTCACGGTCACAGCATGATGGTCGGTATAACTCCGTGGTCACGGGCTGATCTTCGGTATAACTCCACGGTATCTTCGTGATCGTTGGTATTACTCTGCGGTCACGAGGTGATCGTTGGTATTACTCGCGGTCACGAGGTGATCGTCGGTATGACTCCGCGGTCATGAGGTGATTGTCGGTATGACTGCGGTCACGAGGTGATCGTTGGTATTACTCGCGGTCACAAGGTGATCGTCGGTATGACTCCGCGGTCACGAGGTGATTGTCGGTATGACTGCGGTCACGAGGTGATCGTCGGTATGACTCCGCGGTCACGAGGTGATTGTCGGTATGACTGCGGTCACGAGGTGATCGTCGGTATGACCATGGTCACTAAGTAATTGTCGGTATGACTGTGGTCACTAAGTGATCGTCGGTATGACTCACGGTCACAGCATGATCGTCGGTATGACGCGCGGTCACAGCATGATGGTCGGTATAACTCCGTGGTCACGGGCTGATCTTCGGTATAACTCCACGGTATCTTCGTGATCGTTGGTATTACTCTGCGGTCACAAGGTGATCGTTGGTATTACTCGCGGTCACGGCGTGATCGTCGGTATGACTTTGCCTCCTGCGAACTAGCGTGAACATCTCTTGCGATAGCGGCGTTATTGGCACTCACTAAGTCGTAAAATCGCCAACGATCAAATCAAATCCTGTCCCGAAAAATTCCCGAATCAAATGTAATCCCGTCCCAAAAATCAGGAATATTTTTTTCCGGAAAATTTCCTGAAATTTCGGGACCTGTCCATCCCTACTGAAAAGTCAACCCTTGCTAGCCACAGTATTAATACAGGACATTTTTTCAATTTAGGAAAACTTAAACTTTTCAAACCAATTATAAAACCTTAACATCTTAATGCATGGGAATCTTATTTTATAGAAAAAACAGACCAAAATTATTTGTTAAATAATGAAGATGGCCCAATTATTAACTCAAAATTACTTAAAATAATAACATCAAGAACAACACTGTAATATATCCAAATTTCTGAAGATAATTTTTTCATATATTTTTACAAAAACCTTTTCATCATCTGTTTTAACCCTCCCAGTGTTACTTGACGAAAATTCGACAAGCAGCACACTTTGTGTAGTGTTACTTGTCGATTTTTCGACACGCAGACATCGTTTACGGCGAAGGCTCTATGACTGACTGAATCGGATTGAACTGGATCGAGTTAGGTATCGTTCTTTCCGTAATATTCTAAGCTTTCTCCAGAGGTCTGTCTCTAAGCGCTATTCATTTTAGTTCCGAAAATATTGTAGCAGACAGCTGACGTGCGTGTATTTGTAAACAGCTAGGTTCCCCCGGACCGATGACTGATGTGTTTTATTACGTTTATCATTGTTTTAGTGTTAAAAATCAAAAGTAGTGATATACGTGGTGCATTATAAGAAGATTTAAGTGGTTTTGAAGTGCTGGTTGATGATCCTGAAGAAGTAGGTAG